TTACATACATTAAAATATTCAGAGAATTCAAAAACACGTTTATAATAAAAATACGTTATTAATAAAATTTTAATTAGTATTGATGACAAGAACGCCTCGAAAGATTTACAAGCCAGATTTTCCTGTCCACAATTTTATTGAACTTCAAAAATCCTCTATTTCAAATGGTGACCGTCGTCAATTTCCATGGGGAACCACCTATAACGATGCAATGCAACCGAGAAAGAGAGAAGATAACGCACAACAAATTGATACTATTATGCTTCAAAAAACTCATTGGAATCAAGGTGATTTACCTACAACTAAAGTAAGTGAATACATTGATAAGTATCGAGATTTTAGTGCTTATAATGTTCGCCCTAATCAAGAAATTACGCAAGAAATGATGATGAAAACTAATTTTTCAATGGATGATGGAATTACGAAAATGGAGAGAGTAAAACAGCAATTCACCGCTGCTGATGTTAATCCAGCAGCTAACCTTAAAGAAATGATGACATCAACACATTTTGATTTAACATCGAAAGCTGCTCCAAAATGGGAGACCACAAATCAAGCAGCATTTGATCATCCTGGCTGTAAACCATCTGAAATGGCTAACATGGAACTAAACCGTGGTTATGGAACGAAATCCACTTTTCAGAATCTTGGCGCATATCCAACCCCAAATTCACTCGCACATGACAGTTATCGTAATTATGGAAGAGCGCAAACAGCTTTAGCCCGAACAAGGCAAGCAGTTGTTGAAAACGGTGAAATTTCATTTGTGCAAGGCACGACGCAAAAATGGCAGGGGACTACTGTTAATCTTGGAGATACCCAGCAGCCATACAGAACAACAACGCAAGATGGCTTTGCTAAACGGAGCCCAAATGATGGTGCCTTTGATCCCCGTTATGCACGTGAAAGGAAGCTTGCTTTGCAAACATCCTGCATCAACAAAGGGAACAACTATCCCACTGTTAAAACCACAACAATGAAGGATGCTCATGTTGCACATCCAGGTTTTAAACCACCTCCTGAAGCGGAAAAAACGGCCTTTCTCTCGCATCAAGATCACAGAAATTGGAATGGTCGACCTTCTACAACCTATCGCGATGCATACTACCCAAAGAGAGCTGAAAAAGTCGATCCAATCAATAATCAATTACAGCAAAGTCATGCGAGTTTTGGAAATGATCGAATACATGAAATGCAAACACTTTATCGTGATACTTATACAAAACCTCCAACAACAATGGAACTAGCGGACATGGATGCTGCTCGTGAATTTAATATGGGTCATCACACTAAAGACAAGGAAGGTGACAATATTGCTACAGAAACAACAACTTATCGACGTGATTATCATGGATGGCCTGGTGTCAAGCCATCAGATATGTGTGAAGCGCTTAAAGGTGGAAATAATATTGTTGCTAACGATCCAAGGCTTGTCGTTAAGCAATCTGCAATGAAAGATGATTTTATTAGATATAAAAATGTCGAGATTCCTTCACAAGTTGATAATGCGCTTCAAAGATCGCATATTCAGCTTACCGGAAGTGGTGAGCCATGGACTACAACTCAACAAGATTACTTCCTATTTAAGACATATAAAATGCCAGGTGCAGTTTGTTAGTTTTTATAATTTATTTAATATTAATATTATTTGTTCATTTAATAGTAATAAATAGCAATTAGAAAAAAAGTTTTTTTATTATATCCATTTTCATTACTAACAATTTAAAAGTTTCAAATATTAATTACATTGGGTACTTAATGTTAATATGATTAATCATATAATTTACATGAATTCATGACTTTTTTGTATTCAATCCAAAAAAAAAAAAAAAATCATATTTATTAGTGATTCATGAAACCAGCCTGTCAATTTTATTGTATTCGAAATTAAGATTAGTAATTCATATAAAATAATTAAAATTAGTAATAATAAAAAAAAATTATTGATCAGGTTGATTAGATTGAAAATAAGTCTGTAAGAAAAGTCTTACATTTTCATCACTAATATCGAATTTAGCTTCAAAATCATCGTAAAAAACTTGATTAAATAATAAATGGCATTGTTCAAGCAAATTCAATTCAGTTGCTTTTTTAAATATATTGCTGAGCACAATGATTGTTAGAGATCTAAGTTCTTCAAATTCCATAGTTTGAGAAGCAATATTAAACAAACACATATGATTTGTCTTTTTTCTTTCTTTTAAAAATTTATTTTCGTCTGTTCCAATTGCTTCTTTGAAGATGAGTGTCCATTCAGCTGATTTTGCAATATCCAATAAGTCAACAATTAATTTAAATAAAACGCTTTTTGAATTGGAACTAATCAAGAAAAAAATGTCAACAAAATTAAAAAAAAGGCAACAATTATCTTTGAAAAAAAGGTTTGATAATAAATAATTGCTATGAACCATGTAGTATATTGAATTAATTGAATAAAATTGATTTTTTTCTGAATTGTTTTTTAGAAACTCAGTTATCATCACGATTATGTCAAATGGGAAATCACAATTATATTTAGTAACTAAGAAGGAAATAATTTTGCAAGCTAATGAAAAGTTACAAATTGGTGGATTTGTTAAATAAAAATTAACGAATTGAAATAGTTCATATTTAGCAAATAGCTCGTAATTAAATGATAAATGATATAAGCAGTTACTGATGATTGAAAGGCAGTTTTTTGAAAAAGCATTTTGAACATGTATGCTCCTATTTATAGGTACTGCTTCTTCGAAGAAATAATGATGAATCATCTCATAAATTACTTTGTTATTATCAAGGCCATCAAGAATGTACTTCATTATTTCATTGAAGCATAAGAATGCATAGATTAAAATATCATCATTATTATCTTTTTTTTGAATCATGTTATAAAATTCTCGTAAAGGTAATTGTTTTATGATCTGGTCTATCATTTTTTGTTCTTGATCCATGATATCTGATTGGTTTTGAAGAATATTATAATATATTTGAATAAAGTAAAAATCAGACATATCATTATCATTTGTAAAATGTAGTTTAAAAAGTGAAATGAAGTTTTCGTATAAAAAAACTTCACATATTTGATATCCTAAAGTAGAAAACTCAGATAAGCAATTTAAAACGATTAGCTTTATTTCTCCGTTGAATTTTTGATAAATCGAAAATAAAAATTGAATAATTCCCGATTTGATCAATAATGGTATGAAATTTAGCTTATCTTTTTTAACCATATCAAAAATATCTAAAATATCTTTTAAAAATTGATCATCAATATTGGAATTATAATACATACTTTGAATTTTCGTAATTTTTGATGTCAAAGCTTGATCGTCAATGATATTGCTTGATCTATAATTCTGAGCAAATATTTCTTTTTTGCTTTCATCTTCATAATTTTCATTTTTATAAAATTGATCCATCAAATTTCAATGTATTTTATAGAAGAAAAAAATATTATTTGTTAACTAATTAGAAAACGTTATTTTCGTTATCAATGGTCTCAAAGAATTGATTATATTTCATATCTGAAAAGATAATAAATTTTGTCCTCGATGAATTTTCCTTTTGATGATTCATCTGTTGAAGAAGTTATTAAGGAAATGAGAGAAAAATCAGAAATTGAGATTGAACATCATATAAAAATTCTAAAAGATCAAATTGCATATACTAAAAATACGATTCGACTATTGACAAATGAACGCATGCATATGGATGAAGAGATACGTTCGAATAACGAAAAAATTCGACTCAATCGCACTCTTCCTTTTTTAGTTGGAAATGTCATTGAAACGCTGTCAATTAGCCAAGAAGATGAAAATTCTGAAACAATTTCCAAAGATAAGAAACCAGAGTCAGCTGTTGTTACGACTACAACACGAGAAACAGTCTTCCTCCCAGCAACAGGTCTTGTTCCAGCATCAGAACTCAAGCCATCAGATTTGGTTGGACTATCAAAAGATTCATACCTCATTTTTGAAAAACTGCCAACACATTATGATTCACGGGTCAAAGCAATGGAAGTAGATTCGCGACCAACCGAAACTTATGATCAAGTTGGTGGTTTAGATAAACAAATTCAAGAATTAAAGGAGGCTGTTGTTTTGCCATTAGTATCTCCAACACGTGAAATGATTCAACGACTAGGGATTCAACCACCAAAAGGTGTTTTGCTTTATGGTCCCCCGGGTACAGGTAAAACAATGTTAGCTCGTGCCTGTGCAGCATCTACAAAATCTACATTTTTACGTTTAGCTGGTCCACAGCTCGTTGAGATGTATGTTGGAGAAGGTGCTGCTCTTGTTCGAAATGCATTTGAATTAGCTCGTTCAAAAGCTCCATCGATCATTTTTATCGATGAAATTGATGCAATTGGCTCTAAAAGGTCGAATGGTGACGGATTGCAAGGTGAAAGGGAAGTGCAAAGGACAATGCTCGAACTGTTAAATCAGCTTGATGGTTTTTCTACTTTGGAGAACGTTAAAGTTATTTGTGCAACTAATAGGCCAGATACACTTGATCCTGCTTTAATGCGCTCAGGTAGGCTTGATCGAAAAATTGAATTGCCAATGCCAAGTGAAAAAGCAAGAGCGGAAATATTGAGAATTCACTCAAAAAAAATGAAAGCTAATGAAAATGTTAACTTTGATGAACTTGCTAGAACAACAGAAGATTTTAATGGTGCAATGCTAAAAGCTGTATGTGTTGAAGCTGGAATGGTAGCTTTGAGGAGGAATGCAGAAGAAATTTTTCATGAAGATTTTGTTGAGGGAATTGCGCAAGTGCAAGCAAAGAAGAGATCTATCCTTTCTTATTTTGCGTGAAGATTCATAGATTTTATAATAATAATTTTAATTGTACGATATAAAAAAAGATATTTTTAATATTTTGTCATTTTGAAAATTATTTAAATTTATCAAAAGTTATTCAAAATTGTGCAGCAAATCTCAACTATCAACTAAATAAAATGGAGATGAGAAATGAACAATACTCAACAATATTAAAATGTAAGAAAAAGAAAAAAAGGGCCCCGGCGGGACTCGAACCCGCAATCTCATGCTTAGGAGGCACACGCTATATCCATTAGGCCACGAGGCCACCCTGTTGTATAAAGTTATGGAAATTATTTAAGTAGAAATGATTCGTTATTTATCTTTTATTTTGAAATTTTTAATAATTTTATTTCGTGAATGGAGAAGACGAGCGGATCTAATAGCTCGCTATCTCCTACACGTCAACAGCAACAATCGCATAATATTGTTATGTCGCAATCACTTTATAACGATGAATGGTGTAAATCCACCTATGAAAAATTCAAAAAAGACAAGTCAACTCTAAAAAAACTTAATCTTAATGATACTCAAAAACTTTTAGCATATCTTCGAGAATATGAGGCAGTCTGTGCAATTGATGCTCGTTACCAAGAAGCAAAATCGACGCGTTCTCTTGTAGATGAAGTTCGAGAAAGCATTAAAAATAAAACTTATTTAACAGAAGATAAATCTAACGAACCTGATACTGCATCAAACTCAAGTTCTAGCCCAAATACATCAAGCACGCTAAATAGAACAAACAACAGTACAAGTTACAACAGTAGAAGTAGCACTACTTCAGCAAACTCCCTGCGTGAAGTGATAGAAAACAAATACAATAATCAATTTCAAGAATTTGATAAAGTTACTGAAAACAAACGTAATTTATTAAATAAACGTCATCAACAAAACCGAGAACGATTTGAAACAAAACTTGCTCAGCAGAACCTTGTTAAAGATTATCGATCAGCGCTTAATAAACTTCTCAATAAGCAACAAATTGAAAAAAACTCTTTTGAGCAATCTCGAATTGAAGCCAGACGTGTTATTGCAGCCAAATACCAAATGGAACTTGAAGCTGCCAAAAATCGATCACTTGTTCTCAAGCAACGGCAGCAATTCAAGGCAAGAAGTTCATCAGGTCTTGATAGGCCTTTATATTCCCTTCCTATTGCTGCGCTTCAAAAAACGAAAGGATCTAATAAGAATAATGATGGCAATAATAAAGACGATGGTAACAATAGTGACCTTTCAAACTTGCTGCCGCCGCTTTTGCCGCCGACTGATCCCAAATTCGAGAAGGAGGATGCAGAAAAACAGAGGGAAGCGGCCAGAAAGAAGAAGGAGCTGCAGAGAAAGAAGGAGGAGGAAAAGAAGGCGAGGAGAGCTGCAATCGAGAGAGACATGAAAATGAAGCAAGATGCCGAAATTCAAAGGCAGAGGCAGAGGAAAAGAGGAAAAGTGATCACAAATCAGACATTCATCACAACTGACGAGGAAATGGACATAACAACAACTACAAGCGCTTTGAACCTAAATGTAAATTATGACGAATCAGCCAAGGATGATCAAAATGATGAATTGAATAAAAATGATCAAAATGATGAATCAAACAAAGATAGTCAAAATGATGAATCAAACAAAGATAGTCAATTTGAATTGAATAAAGATAGTCAAAATGATGAATCAAACAAAGATAGTCAATTTGATGAATCAAGCAAAAATGATCCGTTTGATGAATCAAACAAAGATAGTCAATCTGAATTGAATAAAGATAGTCAATTTGATGAATTGAATAAAGATAGTCAATTTGAATTGAATAAGGGCATCGATAATGATGGCGTGAGTGATGAGGTATCGGGCAATGCAGTGAGTGATGGAAATGAGAATGAGTCTGTATCAAATGAAGTGAGTGGCCAAGAGGTCAGTCTGGGAGGCGAGGCCAGCCTGCACGATGATGCCAAGAATGATCAAGTACTCAATGAAATAGTGCAAAATGATATTTCGCCTTCAATTGATGCCCTCATTGGAAAAAATGATTCATGCAGCGCAAATGGCCAAACAATTGATAGTAACGTGAGCGAAAACAACGAAATTCATCAAAACAACGAAACTAATCAAAACAACGAAACTAATCAAAACAACGAAACTAATCAAAACAACGAAATTAATCAAAACAACGAAACTAATCAAAACAACGAAATTAATCAAAACAACGAAACTAATCAAAACAACGAAACTAATCAAAACAACGAAATTAATCAAAACAACGAAATTAATCAAAACAACGAAACTAATCAAAGCAATGAAACTAACGTAAGTAATGAAACTAATCAAAGCAATGAAATCAGTCAAAATGATGGAAATAATGAAACAACTAAAAGCAATGAAATTAGTGCAAATAGCGAAATCAGCAGAGCTAACCAAAGCAATGAAAATAATTTAAGCAATGAAGCTAATAAAAGCAGTCAAATGAATCGAAACAATGAAAATGATGTAAAAAGTGACGCAAATCAAAGCAATGAAAATGATGTAAAAAGTGACGCAAATCAAAACAATGAAAATGATGTAAAAAGTGACGCAAATCAAAACAATGAAAATGATGTAAAAAGTGACACAAATCGAAACAATGAAAATGATGTAAAAAGTGACACAAATCAAAACAATGAAAATGATGTAAAAAGTGACACAAATCGAAACAATGAAAATGATGTAAAAAGTGACACAAATCGAAACAATGAGAATAATGAAGCTCCTGAAATTAATCAGAGCAACGAAATCAGTGAAAAAAACGAAAACGCTCAAAGCAATAAAATCAATGAAATTAAGGCAAATAGTGAAACTATAAGCACTAATCAAAGAAGCGAAGCCAGCGAAATCAAGAAAAGCCAAGAAAATATTCAAAATAGCGGAATCAGTGGAACCAATGAAAGCAAAAGCGATAATAAAACTAGCGAAATCAAAGAAGCTGGTGGAAGCAACGTAATTAACGAAGCAAACAGATTTGCAGAAAACAAAATTCGTGTGAAGAGCGAAAGCAGAAGTAATCATCTGATGGGCAGCCAATCAAGTGGAAGTAATGTAACTCAAAATAGAAAAAATGCGGTTAGTAAGAATACACTAAAGCCAAATAATCCAACAGAGAGTCAGTCCACTAGTCTTGCATTTCTTGATATCTTAAAGTCAGGAACTAACCTTCTTTAATACTCTCAGTTCCTATATGAAAATGGCAATGTTTTAATATTATAATCCACAGATTGTTTGCATTGGTAAGGCGTTATTAGAATTGTTTTTGAAGATTTATCTTTTTATATCAAATAGATTTATGATTATTATATTCATTTGATGGTTGGAAGTCAAAACTAATGATGTTGTTTATGCTAATATTCATATTTATTTAATGTTTGGAATTTTTTATATCAATATCATATATTTTATAAAATAAAGATCCTTAGAAATTGTTTTATAAAAGAAAAAAGTTATTATCGTGTTATTAAAAATGGCCGATTTCACATAGTTTTCATTGTTGTATATTTTGTCTTGTTAAAATTTGAATGAAAATTTTCTAAATTTTTATAGTTGTTTGGCCAAATAGGATATTAAAAAAAATGTATAAAATTTCGCCATAATGGTCGATTTGAAAAAATTTGAATTAGAAAAATATACTTTACAAAAAGTTTTGTTAAATTTATAAGAATATTAAATGAATATTAGATTCTCAGATACTTACAGATGTTTCAGTAGTGCAACAGCTGGAAAGCCTGAACTTGAAGAAACAGATAGAATTCTTTTACCTGATGATGCTTTAAATTCAATATATCAAGCAGGATATGATAATAATCATGGTATTATGCTTTTCTGTATTCGAAATATTCATCGTGGAACAGAAGTTTATGCTGGAGTTGAAAACTTTACAATGCCACAAGGTCAGGTTTGCCTCCCTTATTGGATAATGGAATTTTTGCAATGTAACGATAATGATCTTGTTAATATTAGCCTTACAACTCTTCCAAGAGCAACACGAGCACTATTTCAGCCGCTTGATTCAAGTTTCTTTAATATTCCAAGTCCAAAAGTTGTTCTTGAATATACCCTTAGAACTCATCCATGTTTAACTCAAGGAACAATAATTATTATCAAATTTAATAATAAGTCATATAGATTGAAAGTTCTAAAAACAGAGCCAGCGTCTGCCGTTCAAGCATTTAAGGCCGATATTATTTGTGACTTTGCAACACCAATGAATGAATTTAAGCATCATTGGAATGAACCTGATACAGATTCTTCTGATGAAGAATTGGCACCTATAGTTAAAAAAGGTCAAACTATATCTGGAAAAGTTGTTGAAGAAACAGAAACTCCAAAACCACTACATTCAACATATGCTCAGCGTGAAAATGATCGTCTTCATGGAAATGTTTTTAGAACAAAAGAAATAGTTCAAGGACAAGAAATTTTACCACCAAAGCCTCGTGAGAAATCATCAAAGAAAGAAGATAAAGTAGACTATTTTGATGGGCAAGGTCATATTGTTAAAAAGAAGAAAGGAAAGAAAGGAGGAAAATCGCCTTCCAATGCTTCATTAAATTCAGCTTCAGAAGAATCAGCACCAGCACCAAAGCCAGCACCAAGCAATCAAGAAGACAAAAGCACAAACCAATCCGATGTACCAAAGAAATCATATTTTACAGGAGTTGCTAGAAACGTTAAAGGTGATTCATTTAAAGGAGAGCCTGTCAAGCCTACACCTCCACCAGCTCCTCAACAGCAAAACGAAAATGAGAAGAAAGATGAACAGAAAAAATCATTTTTCAGCGGAGCAGCCCGTACTTTGAAAAGTTCAACACCACAATCGCAGCCATCACAACCAGCTCAAAACCCTCCACCAAGCACTGGCAATTCTGGATCAAGTTTCTTCCAAGGTCCAAGCAGGAAATTAAAGCATTAATTTTTTTTTTTTTTAATAATATTTGATAAAAACTAATACATTTTATAGCATAATTTTTTTAATAGTGTTAAACATCTTTTGGGTGTATCGTTCAATAAAATGCAATCTAAATAATATTATATATTTTGGTTGAATACTATTAATAAAATATAGATTCTTTAGCAATTCTCAGAAATGCTAAATATGGTAAAAATTATATTAAAACTTGATTTGATTTGGTAAAATACGAAAATTAACTAAATAGTAATATGAACAGTTTATAAACAATAATTAGCTCTGAGCGTATAAATGAGTCCATTCTTTTGCGATTTTTTTCGCTCCCTCAGGATCATCTTTCC